TTCCCCAGAAAATAGCCTGTAAAATAGAGGACAAAACAAAAACCTGACCTGTACCAGTGTGTTCATAATAGTAAAATTCAGATAACCAATACAGAAACAGAAAAAACAACATATAGTTAGTAAAAGGTTTTTTGGACTTATTTTTTAAACATTGGATGAGGTGTATATAATATAGATTTTTTTAAACAATTTTATTTATTCGAGAGAGAGAGAATGAGAGAGAGAGCATGAGCAGCAGAGGGAAGGGGAGAAGCAGACTTCCTGCTGAGTGGGGAGCCATATGCAGGGCTTTATTCCAGGACCCCAGGATCATGACCTGAGCTGAAGGCAGATGCTTAACTGACTGAGCCACCCAGGTGCCCCTAAAATAGATTTTTTTAAAAAAGAAACTCCAGTGTGGTTTGCAGTGATTGCTGCCATCCAATTTACATGAAAATTAACTCTGATTTGAAGAAACCTAATAGAAAAAAAATGAAGAAACCTAATAGAAAAATCAGTGAAGGAAATATAAATGACTAAAAACTCTTGAGATGTACATCACTAGTAAATAAATGTAAATTAAAACAAGGAAATAAACATACTGTTTTTCAAGTAAGCAAGCTTTAAAAAACACATGTGCCCAACTTGCTCCACTTTTGCCTTAAAATTATTATAACTTTTGACCTAGTAATTCCACTCCAATGCATTCTTGAAGAAATAAAATGTGGAAAAATACGTACACAGATAGATGTTTGTAAAAATCATTATTTATAATGGGCTCAGTATTAGAAGAATGGTTAAATTATGCTACATTTACACAGTAGAATTTTATATGTCTATTAACATAATCCCTTATTTACATAGCCATATTCCATTTTTCAAGAATGGGTTTTAAATGACTCAGTTATTTATACTTTTGTCATTTCCAAATTTCTACCATAATTGCATATTTTTTTAACTAGAGAAATACATTAATACCCAGTACTTAACGAAGTACTTGTTATGTGCCAGGCCTTGTTCAGGGAATGTTACCTGTATTAGTCATTTAATTTTCACAACAACCTTCTGAGGTACTATTATTCTCATTTTACAGATGAGAAAACTCAGACACTGGCAAGCTGAGTAAGCTTGTCCAACGTCACAATAAATAGTGGAGCTGAGATCTCAATGCAGCTAGTTTGGCTTTGTGTTTCTGCCTCAAACTGTGTCCCACCAGCTCTACAGCAGTCTGCTCCATCCTGGTTTCAGGTCCCCTACAAACAAAAAGCTTCCTGAATTTGTAATACTGGATCGAATCTAGTGGATATTGTGAGCTCCTGAAGATACAAACTGCCGAATGGAAAACTCCATCTGATCCAGTAATTTTTAGCAATCTGTAGCATTACAAGTTATGCAGTGGTTTGAATTTTGTTGTCTATTCTACTTAAGACACTGACAAACAGTGAGTGTAGTGCTACCAAATATACAGACCTAGTCCTCCTCCTTTCTGCTGCATTTTTCATTTTTGGTTTTTCTTGGCTCTCCTCTTTACACCCTTTATTTTTAAATTAACCTAATTTTGGTATAATTGGTGTATAATAAACTGTACCCATTTGAAGTATACAATTTGATGAGTTTTCACAGATGTTTATATCTGTGAAACTATACCACAGGATAGAAAATATTTCTATTAGCCCTCAAACTTTAGTCAGACAACTATTTATTTGCTCTTTCACACAGATTTATTGTCATTTTCTGGAATTTTATGAACAGAATCATATATATGCTTCTCTAGTTGGCTTCTACTTAATGTAAGGATTTTGAGATACATTCATGTTATTGTATGTCTCCATTGTTTCTTTTTACTGATGAGTTGTGTTCCATTGTGAGTAGTATCACACTACTCTACATTGGAACATCTACACACTACATTTTCGTATCAGTATTCCACTGATACGAAAATACCACATTTTGTTTATCAATTTGGGTTGTTTCTAGTTTTGGCTTCAGTGAGTACAACTGTTAAAATATGTGCTTTTCATTTTCTTGAGTAAATAAGTAGAAGTAGAATGGTGAAGTTGTATATGTTTAACTTTATAAGAAACTGCCAAACTTTTAAAAAATTGTCTCATTTCCCATTCCCACTGGCTGGGTATGAGAGTTCCAGTGCCTCCACATCCTCACCAACACTGGCTGTTACCAGTCTTGTTAATGTTGGCTACTCTGATGGGTATATAATACTTCTCATAGTTTTAACTTGCATTTCCCTGATGCTTAACTGACTAAGCCACCCAGGTGCTTCTGTTAGTTTTGTTTTTTAATAAAGGATAATTTTTTGTGGAGTCTATGTGTTCTATGTAAGAAATCTTTGTCTCCTTATTTTCTTTTAGGTCTATGATCCACTTAGAATTAATTTTTATATATTAGATAAGGGTTAATGTGTTTTTTTTTTTTAAATCTATGAATCTCTCATTTAGCATCGTTCATTGGTAAGATTTTCCTTTCCTCTTGAATTGCCATGGCACCTTTGTCCAAAATAATTGACCACCTATATATGGATCTGCTTCTGGGTCCTCTTCATATATACACCTTATCATTTAGCTAATAATTGCACTGTCTTGATTGCTGTAGCTATATGATGTCGAGTAGTCCCTCCAACTTTAGTCTTTTTAAAAATTGCTTGGACTGTTCTGTTTGTTTTCATTTCCACACATATTTTACAATCAGCTTTTCATCTTGTATAAAAGAGCAGGTTTGGATTTTGACTTGGATTCCATTGAATCTTTAGCTCAATTTAGGGGAAACTGACTTCTTAACAATTCTTGCAATTCATGGACATGGTATGTAATATAAAATATGTTCTATAACTATTCATATGGGTCATTGTTAATTCTTTTTGTTACTTTCATTTAACATTTTTGCCTCTTACCAGATTCTTCATATGAATAAGATAAACACAGAAACTTGTCATTTCATACAAGGTAGAAGAGGTTGAATCAATTAAAACTTTGAGATTTGGTAATGATATGAAAGTATTTACATTTACTTCATGTATCATGTGTAACTTACAACATACAGAATGAATATAGGCTACCCAATAATATAAAGCTTTTTTAAAAAATTGAGGCATAATTGACATAAATATTATAATAGTATCAAGTGTACAGCATAGTGAATCAACACTTACATACATTGCAAAATGACCATCATATTCATTCTGCCATCACCATACAAAATTAATACTGTATTATTGACTGTATTCCCCGTGCTGCATATCACATCCCCGTGGCTTATCTATTTTATAACTGGGAACTTGTATTTTTTTTTAAGGTTTTTATTTATTTGTCAGAGAGAGAGCACAAGTAGGAGGAGCGGCAGGCAGAGGGAGAAGCAGACTCCCTGCCGAGCAAGGAGCCCAATGTAGGACTCAATCCCAGGACCCTGGGATCATGGCCTGAGCCAAAGGCAGACTCTTAACCATCTGAGCCACCCAGGCGCCCCAAGATTTTTTTTTTTAATTTATTTTCTTGACGGAGAGATTGACAGCGAGAGAGGGAACACAAGCAGGAGGAGTGGGAGAGGGAGAAGCAGGCTTCCTGCCAAGCAGGGAGCCCGATGCAGGGCTCAATCCCAGGACCCTAGGATCATGACCTGAGCTAAAGGCAGGCACCCCACGACTAAGCCACCCAGGCGCCCCGTAGTATAGTTTAAAATCAAGCGTGTATACCTTCGGCTTTGTTCTTCTTTATCAGGATTATTTTTGCTGGTCAGGGTCGTCTTTGGTTCCATACAAATTTTAGAATTATTTGTTCTAGTTCTGTGAAAAATACCATTAGAATTATTAGAATTTCGATAGGGATTGCATTAAATCTGTAGATTGCTTTGGGTAATATGGCTATTTTATTAATATTGATTCTTCCAAACCACAAACACGGAATATCTTTCCATTTATTTGTGTCTTTATTTTTTTTTTCATCAAGTCTTTATACTTTTCATTGAATAGGTCTTTCACTTCCTTGGTTAAATTTATTCTTAGAAGGGTGGCTGGGTAGCTCAGTCAGTTGAACATCTGACTCTTGGTTCTGGCTCAGGTCATGATCTCAGGGTCATGAGATCCAGCCCTGCAATGGGCTCTGTGCTCATCACACAGTCTGCTTGTCCTTCTTCCTCCCCCTCTGCCCTTCCCTGTGCTCATGCTCCCACGCATGCACCACTCTCTCATAAATAAATAAAATCTTTAAAAAAAAAAAAAAAAACTAAAAAACCCAAAAATTTATTCCTAGGTATTTTACTTTTTTGATGTAGTTGTGAATGGGATCAGTTTTCTCAGTTTCTGTTTCTCATAGTTTATTGTTTATGTGTAGAAACACAACCCTTTTTTTAAAGATTTTATTTATTTATTAGAGAGCAAGAGAGAACATGAGTGGGGGAAAGGGATCATGACCTGAGCCAAAGGCAGATGCTTAACTGACTTAGCCACCCACGTGCCCCAAAAAGAATACAACAGGTTTTTGTATATTGATTTTTTTTTTAACCTTGCTACTTCACTGAATTTTACTAGTTTATTAGTTCTAATGGTTTTTGATGGAGTAGTTAAGGTTTTCTATATATAGTATCATGTCATCTGCAAATAGTGACAGTTTCACTTCTTCCTTTCCAATTGGTATGTTTTTCTTTTTCTTGCCTAGTTGCTGTGGCTAGGATATAAAGTTAAATTTTTTTTATGGTTTTAGTTAAAAAAATAAATATAAATAAGTTCTAATATTTTCTCTCTGTACCCTAGCAGATTGTTATCTCTCCACTTCGAGGCTGCTACATTCATTAAATGGTTATGAATTGAATGCTTTGGTAGATTATTTGTAGAAGTGCCAAACTTCAGTCTTTTGCATGGCATTAACATCTGGCAAAACATAAACACATACATACACAGATGGAAATTATGAATTATTATACTGGACTGGATTAATAGATGGATTTACCAGATGTAAAGTATTTAAATTTTCCATTATGCTGCTAAATAATCTTTCTTCTTATTTTAACAGATATCAGACACCCTGAAGAACTTTCTCTCTTGAAAAAACCCAGAGATCCAACTAAGAAAAAAAAGAAAAAGTTAGATGACCAGTCTGAAGATGAGGCACTTGAATTAGAGGGGCCTCTTATCACTCCTGGATCAGGTGAGACTTTGTTAGACTAAGCAGAGGCATAGTGTGAAAACCATGGATGTGTCTATATGTTTGTGGTCTTTTGACAAATGGTTTACATAGGTAGGAGAGTGATCAACTTTAAAAAAACTCTCCTTCAGCATTTTTTCCCTCAATCATGAAATCACCACTAGGGTCTGTCATGTGCAAATCATCGTGTCAGGTGTTAATAGTTGCATCAATAAAAAGGAAGGCTGGTTCTCTGCTCCGGAAGAATAAAAAAGGGGCAATACCTTAACTGGGCTCAGTTTTTTGCATTGTAAAAAATTGGACAGTTTTTTAGTATTTAGTTCCTTTTTTCTGTATTCTGTGAAAACCACACTTACTAAGACATTATTACTTCTGTGGGTTACTTAAAATCTTTGCGCTTTGCATATACTGGTCCCTTTGCCTTTTCACCTTTTTCCTTTAAGGTTTTGCCCCTTTAAGAAGCTTTCTTAGATTTCCTTCCATTACCTCCCCAACCTGAATTAGGTATCCTTCTATTTTAAGACACCAGACTTTTCTGTGTTTGGTATTGTACTGCATGTTCTTACCTTTTAAATTGTGAGGTCCCGTCATGATGGAACTGTCTCTCACATTTTTGTTACCAGAACCTAACTTAGCATGTGGCATTCAGCAGGAGCATAGGCAGTGTCTTTTGGGGAGCTAGATGACTAATTAAATTACATGGTTATTTATTTAGTCCTGGGCATACACAGGGACTGGACATTACAGTTTCCCATGTGTCTATCAGCCATACATTTATAAATCCATTTCTTAGGAAGTAGGTCCCTCAGTCAGTAAGTAAACTAATTTAACTAATTCAGTTCATTCTTGGTTTTTTAAATTCTGGGGTGATGATAATGGAAACAATTTAGTGCTTACTATATGCCCATTTTACACATTATACTCATGGAAATTAAATTTAGTGTATTTTACTTGTGGAAACTCACTTAATTCTCACTACAACCCATTGCAGATTATGTTATTACTCATTTTAAGGTTGAAGAAATGGCACAGTAAGGTTAGGAACGTCTGATGTCACATAACTTGTAACCTTTATGCCCCTACTCATGTACTGATTGAACTTCGGGGATACCAAAAAATAAGAAAATCCTTAACTCTTAAGAAGTTTTTAGGCTATTTGGCTCAGGTCATGATCGGAAGCCTGCTTCTCCCTCTCCCACTCCCCCTGCTTCTCCCGCTTCTCCCTCTCCCACTCC